TCCCCCCCGCCGTACAGACCGGCGGACTCGCGTTCGTTCCCGGGCGCGGTGGCAGAGCCCGGCGGGACGCAGCCCCGGGGCTGCGGGAGCGAGGGCCCGGCCCTGCCCGACGCCGAGGGGCAATGCTGAGCTGGGCCCTCTGGTCCTTGGCCCCAGAGAGGCTTTCCTTGGACCTTCTGAATCGGAAAATAAATGCTCTTTCCCCTAAATTGTCCCAATAATCCCAAGCGTGACATGTCCGAGGAAAGACCCTGCATTCAGGACCCCTCTTTGCCCTGTTGCCTCGCAGCTTGTTGAGCTCGCGTTGGCTCCAGATCAGATCTGCCTGTTAGCTCTGTGGGGCGCAAGTTGCCTGTGTGTGTGCAGGAAGGCGGTTGTCTCCCTCCCTTCCACCCGCCCGTGCCCGGGACGGGCCGGGTTCCTCGCTGAGCAGCTGTTCTGTCCTCTCTTTCAATTCCAGTGTTCCCTCCATCAATCTGACCAGCTGCAAGTACGAGAGCGGTAAGTCCGAGATGCTGCAGGGTGTCCCTTTGGATCAGCCCACCGACACATGGCAAGCTCTATGGGTGTCTGCTCAGCCAGGGAGGAGTGCTGCCACCGAATTTCCACTGCACAGTTGCTTTTGGTTTAGGTATTTAGTGGTTGCAAGCGACTTGGGCCCCTGTGAAAAGTACAGTTTCTCACACTTTGGACTGAGGTGCCCTCTGGTTTAAAGAGACAGAAAATGTGCAACAGCAGTGCAAGCCCTCGACCCTCCCCATACATCTGCATTTGCCAAACATCTGCTAAGATTGGCGAGAAGGGTTTAGTTAGGGGCAGTTACAATGCAAGATCGGTACCTGTGCTTGGGGAAATGATGTGAGAGCTCTCAACTGTTTAACATAAGGCCAGTGATGGAACAGGTAGGATTGGTACCTGGAACCTCTCCCTTTGCTGTCCATCTCCTGTGACATGCTCCAGGGAGCTGGTCCCCTCTCCTGTCTTGCTCTTCTTTGCTGCCACAAGCTGTATCTTAAACGAACAGACTCCTAGCAGTTGATGGATGTTATCAGCCTATTTGCTAACAACTGTCGTAGCAGTGCAACCGCATTGGCATTGTTGAAGGTCACAGCCTGGTCAGCTGTGCGAGGAACACCGTTTTTATAAAGAGGGACAGGTGCGTTTTGCCTAAGGCTGTGCTTGGGCAGTTTGGTGACAGGAGGTGGATGGGTACCCGCAGCAGGAGGTGGTGTGGCAGCACGGGCGCCACAGGAACCAGAACCGTTTCACAACGGTGCCTAACGTGTGTTGACCTTCATCGCCTCCCCAGCCCTGTGAGAGGCCAAATTCAGAATTGGCACTTACACAAACCATCCTGGCAGCAGCCTTCTGCTCCAGAGCTTGTGTGTTCTGCTGCCAAATAACTTTTGATTTTGAAGATGACACTCATACCCTCAGAAGATTTGTATCTGCCCATGTGGTGTCAGACCCACAGCGGATTCAAGCCTGCTGTGGTTCAGGAAGTGCTCTGGGACTGTGGACTTACAGGGCTGATAGCTCCCAGTACACTTGCAGCCAGAGGCTGGGGGTGAGTTTAGCTGGGTAAAGCTTGTGTTTCTGACACCTCCTGAAGGGTCCCGCCAATACCTTGCATCTCTGAGAGTAGAATTGCAGCCTGGAGATCTTTGTTTCACACTCCGTCCCTGGTTATTTTGGGGATTTAATAACCCCTGGTACTTACATCCTCTGCCGGGCCCCTTGTCATGTGCTTGCTTTGGTACAGTGCGGCGGGCAGTATTACGCTGTGGGCTGAAAGAAGCAGGAGAGAATGAGGAGTGGACAGTGTATTGGACGGACTACTCAGTCTCTCTGGAGCGCGTCATGGAAATGAAGCGGTTTCAGGTAAATACTCCCATGCAAAGGCTGCCCAGTCGGAAGAGCTCAGGAGGGAGGGTGAGACGGGGGCTGTTAGTGGAACAGCGTGTTGCAGAAGGAAACAGCAGTGTCCCAGCTAGCACCTGTGCCCCTTCTCTGCATCAGTAGCAGAGGGCGCAGGTTCACAAGCCTTTACTTCTGTTGTGTCTCTGATACGGTGCCATTGGCAATGCTTTGGCAGTAGTGTGAATTGGAAAGCCGCCAACCCCTTTAATGTAGCATGAAATAAATGGTTCTTGATGACAAACGGCTCCCTGAAGCTGCGATATTTTAGCGAGGGAGAGCTTCAGGGCTGAGATGGAACAAGCAGATAAATCACATGGGTGAAGTTCAGATAAAGCAGCTGTAGCATAATCTTGTCCCTCAGCAGATGTTCAAGGCAACTGCAGGCCCAGCTTCCTGTTCTGCAGGCCAGTTTCTCCGTACGCGGGCTTTCCTCAGGTCTCGAGGAGGATCCCTGCTGTTGCTTTGCTGATTCTGTTTTTTGTCTGCACCTCTTTCAGAAAATCAACCATTTTCCAGGCATGATAGAGATCTGCCGTAAGGACTTGTTGGCTCGCAACCTTAACCGCATGCTCAGGCTCTTCCCCAAGGAGTACAATATATTTCCCCGCACTTGGTGCCTGCCAGCTGAGTGAGTGATACGCATTAATGCAGCTGAGAACAGGGCTATGAAATTAGGTAGTGGGAACCACTATGCTTGACAGCCAGGGCAGGGATGGGGGGCCTCTCTGAGATCTCATCGCTTGGCCTGGGCCTTCATAACCTTCCCTGGAAGGGAATGGGGTGTTGAAACACGTTTCTAGTTTCACACATCTTTAATTGCAGTTAGATTGAATTAGCCCGTGGAATGGTGTCCTCTGTGCTGTGTGGCTTGCTGCTGGGCAGACCGCGTGCCAAAGGGCTAAATCTGGGGAGAAGGACCCGCCCGGAAAGCCAAAGGGCAGCAGGCGAGTGGGAAGTGTAAACTGGTGTTTCGGTGGAAGGCCTCTCAGCGGCTCAGGGCAAATGGGAGAGGCAACTGCAGGGCAGTGTGGCAGGCTCCCTTCCCCACCGGGTGGGTCAGTGCCAGTCGCTCACCCAGGGAGGGCACAGGACTGGAGCATGAGGCAGTTCTACCCCACCGACTGTGACGCCTGTCTTCACAGCCCCCTGCACCTCTGCCATCCGCTGCAGTGGAGCACACTGATGGTGGAGGGTAGTGGGACAGCACAGGTCACTATGCTAGTACATATACAGTTAGACGTAAACCATCACCAAATTACTCAAGCTTTGGGGCAGAAGGCCTGGCTTCTCTGATCATATACAGGCAAGCAATGATAGAAACATAGCTGAAAGAGACCAAAGAGCACTTGGAGTTTGGGTGGTTGCAAGGAGACAAGATATCCAGTCTTAGACAGATTTTATTCTTACTGTTTCCTGAAGATCTCGAAGTTGGGCTCCTGTCACCTGTTCTGTAGCTGAACTTTCCTCATGGTCAGAATGATTTTCTTAGTATCTGACCTAAAGTATCTTTGCTGAAGTATCAGCATTTACGACTTCTCCTGTTTGCACTGGCCTTGGAGAACAGCAGCTTGCTGCATTTTGCTAATAGCGTGTCATGTGCAGGAAGGTGATTGCCATGTGTACTCCCAGTCTTCCCATTTCTGGAGAAGACAGACCTAGTTCTGTCATCTTTCTTTTCCAGGCTGCATTTCCTGGACTTGGATTGCTCTTGGCACTGTTTTCAGGGATTTGTCCTGTTCGCCTCTCTCTTCCCCTAAACGTGGTGCCCACTAGAGAGATGGTGGGCTAGGGCCCACCTAGGGCCAATTTGTAACTCATGTACATCAGGAATAGGTGTACTATTCCTCTGCTGCAGAAGTTTGGTCTGTACTGGCCCACAGCACCATAGTTTGAGTACCTAACTGTTATGAGAGAGAACAGAGGCTGGTTTTTTTGCAGCTTGTAACAGTTACCCCTTCCTTGCACAGCTATGGAGATTTCCAGGCCTACAGGCGTGTGAGGAAAAACAGAACATTCATCTGCAAGCCAGACAGCGGCTGCCAAGGGAGAGGTATCTTCATAACGCATAATCCAGAGGAGATCAAACATGGAGAGCATATGATCTGTCAGCAGTATATCTCTAAGGTAATGGGGACAGCCTCAAAAATACAGGTGGAGGATTGCAACCTCCATCTCTTCCAGCATCCCACATCCTCCTTGTGTCCTTTGCCCTTTGTCTCTTGTCTTCCTGGATCTGCCAGGGGCACCGGGGTGGCTGCAGCACAGCAGAGGCACGGCAAAAGCTTGCCTTTCTCATCACTGCTGAGCTGCCAAGGAAGCAAAGCAGATAGAGCAGCCAACCTTAAGGAATCGGCAGCACACCTAGCAATGTTTGCTCATGCTTGCTCCTGCCTTTTTTCTCACAGCCTTTCCTCATTGATGGCTTTAAATTTGACATGCGTATCTATGTGCTGGTCACATCTTGTGACCCGCTGAGGATTTTTGTCTACAAGGAGGGTCTGGCCCGGTTTGCCACCATGAGGTACATCGATCCCAGCAGCAGAAACCTGGTAAAAAAGGGAAGTTTCCAAAGAACTCGCATAGTATCTGTAGGTGTTAGTCCCTAATTCGTCGTAGGGGCATCCCAGACCTTAAAAAGGCAGGGACTGGTGGGTGTCATGGGACCCAGCTTTCTTCTTTCCTGTTCTCCCCTTCCTCTATACCTCCTCCTCCTCCTCACAGGAGGTATTTCAGGAGTGCCTGAAGTAGATCTGCTCCCAGGCCCCACATTTGGGCTGTTTACTGGCATTATCACAGAATCATGGAATTGTTTCGCTTGGAAGGAACCTTGGAAGGTCTCGAGTCCAACATTCTGCTCAAAACTGGGTCAACAGTAAATTCAAATCTGGTTTCTTGGGGGTTTCACCCAGTCAGGTGTTGAAAACCTGCAAGGATGGAGATCCCATGGTGTGTCTGGGCAACATTCCTACTGCTTCTTGCCTTTATGAGCATTCTCAAGTCCACGCCATTCCTTGTCTGCCTGCACTTCAGGCAGAAAAGAGGGACCTGGGGATTATCTGGTGGTAGTGGAACAGCCTAGGAGAGACAGGGAGAGGAAGGAATTGGGAAGGGAAGGTGCCAGAGTATGGCCGTGCCCACCTCCAAGCAGGAGTCTGTAACCTGTAAAATCCCAACAGAGGATGGACTGTAGTGTTGGATTGCTGTGCTACAGTCACAGGCTGCCCCGAGATACCCCAGGCTTCTGGTTATCTGCCCGCTTGACCCAGAGTTGCATATGTATATGCCCTCTCTCACTCCACTATGTGCATGTCTTGGAGACGTCTTTTGCTTTGGGTGAGTGAAAGAAGAGGAAGAATCTGCAGAAATTTGCTGCAGCTTCTGTCCTGAGGAGTCCCTTGTTTGTCAGTGAGGCCACAGTTGGAATGGCATTTGTGGAGCTGACTCCTGTGCTCTCCCGCAGAGATAAGGGCAGAGGAGCAGAGAGGGTAGAGCTCTTTTAGCTCTAACTTCTGGCTAGAGAAGGAATCACCAGCATGATTAACTCTTTGCTGCAAGTCACCGCCACAGACAAGAGGCAGAAGCAGGCGAAGTTGGTGGCTAGACTAGTGCTAATGGGGCTGTTTCTATTTATGCTCTGTGGTTAAGAGTAAATGAAAGTATCTTGCTGTTCCTCTCTCAGGATGATATCTGCATGCATTTGACCAATTATGCTATCAACAAACATAATGAAAACTTTGTCCAGGATGACATGACGGGCAGTAAGAGGTATTGTCTTGTCCATGTACCCCAATGCCCTGTGCACATCCTGCAGGAAAGCTGCACTTGGGACACTGGTTTACTTCCATCTTTCCTGGGGCAAACATGCTATCACAGGTCAGTTCTTATCATCTCCTGTCCTCCACACAGGAAACTGTCCACCCTGAATGCTTGGATGACAGATAACAGCTACAACACAACAAAACTCTGGGAAGATATTGAAGATATTATTATAAAGACTCTTATTTCAGCTCACCCTGTTGTGAAGCACAATTACCAAAGCTGCTTTCCGAACCACACGACTGGCTGTGCCTGCTTTGAGATACTGGGTTTTGACATTTTGGTAGACAGAAAGTTGAAGCCCTGGCTGCTAGAGGTGAGGAAGGAGTCTCCTCCTGTGTTGAAGCAACTCTGGAAGCAGCAGACAGCCAAGAGCTGGCTTGTCTGGGGAATGCTCCAGAACAAGGGGTGGTGGGAGGGACAGAACTCGTTTGATTAAAAAGGGCCACCTCGTTCACAAAATTGAACAGGCTATGAAGACAAGTAGCCAAGCAACCTGCTGTAGGCTAAGCGGGATCTAAGAACCTGTTCCCTGTACACCCTCTCTAACAGCAGGGAGTTTCCTGAACCTTAGGACTCCTTGACCTGTAACAAGCGTCTTGAATTTATGATAGCTGCCCCATGCCTATAGTCCTGTGGGGTGTGGGATTTGAATGACCTGTGGCGCGGATGGGCATTACATTGCAGAAGGACAGAACCAGCTTCTGCCTGCAGCCTCCTGCTTTCTCTTGCTGTTACAGGGAAGAACATCCATGGAAAGTGTGTGGGGGAGCAGACTGGGGGCCAGCAAGCTGGCTGCTGGCAGCACTTTCTGGGAGCTGGGACTTGCCAGGTTAGATTAGCTGCTTGTTTTGGCAGGTGAACCACTCTCCCAGCTTCACCACGGACTCTCCCCTAGACCGTGAGGTGAAGGATGCTCTTCTCTGTGATACCATCAACCTGATAAACGTGCATGCCTGTAACAAAAGGAAGGTGCTGGAGGAAGACAAACAGCGGGCAAAGGAACGGCTCCTCCAGGGCCATCAGACTCTCCGTGCATCCAGGTATTGCTCTTCCCCACAGTGCTGCACATCCCCAGTGAGAAAGGATGGGGCATGGCAGAGCAGGATAAAACCAAGGCTAGCTGGCTCCAAATTAGAGCTCCCAGAGGCCGTGGCACTATACAGCCTCTGGGAAGAGCTCTCCCAAGCCATCTGCATCCTGCAAGGAAGAGCCAGGGCTCATCTCTTGGTGCTAGGAGATCCGAGACACCTGGTGCTCTGGGCCCTGTACAGAGTCATCCCCATTGAGCTGCGTCTTGCTTGTCACGTCTGTCAGTGCCGATGGGCAGTGCTAGCATCTGTGGGCTCTCAGTGAAGCTCGCAGGATGGACAGCAGCACTGCTTCAGGGACCAAGAGCACCCGGGGGCATGGGGCCCTTCTCCAGAGAAGGGTTCCTTTCTCAGGGCTGAGGGTTTCCCCCCCTTCTCTGGCTGCATGTCCTTTCATGAGGCCATGTTAGATTAGCCTGCTGCCCGGGCTTTTCCTGCCATGCAGGGTGAGGCAGGAACTGCCTACAGCTCCCATTTCAATTAGGAGACCTGAGATCACTCTGGGCTGGAGACGCTGAGTGTGTTAGCCCTGCGTTGTGCCTGCGCCTGCAGCCTCGGCTGCTCTGAGCTCCCTGCTAGCGAGGAAAGCTCCCAGCAGCATGCAGGGTGGCAGATACGCCTTGAATAGGCCCATTTTAACTGAACTTCCCTTGTAACTGGAGTAGTTGGGTGAAAAGGCTGAGGGGCAGGGTGTGAGCCTGGGTGGCAGGGGACAGATCTGTAAATGCTTCACCAGCACTCTACAGGGAGAAGATGAAGTGTGGGTTGTCTTGGTTCCTTGCAGTGCACCCATGTGAAACAGGCTCCCAAACGGGGAAAGACAGGGGAAGGTGCTAGCTAGGCCCTTGTCCCTCAGCCAGGACAGCACCTGGATCCTCCTATCACAGCTCCCTGCCTGTGCTTTCTCCCGGTTTGCAGACGCGAGGAGTTAGAGAGCAACCAGGCTGCCTGGCTGTCCCAGGCAGAAAAGTACGAGAACTCACACCTGGGCGGTTACCGGCGCATTTATCCAGCATGTGGAACAGAGAAGTATGAGCCGTTTTTCAAGCAGAGTGGCTCCCTCTTCCAGGAAACAGTGTCATCCAAAGCACGAGAGGAGTGTGCCAGGTACACTGCCCCTGTGGAAAACCTACTCCTCATAGGGCTGGCATAGAGACTGCTTGCTTATGATCCCTTCTTGGGAGCAACTCTGCTGCTTACAGATGTAAGCAAGCTAGTGAGAGGTGGAAGGGAAGGAGTCTGCATGTGCTGTGTCACCATAGCAAAGCAACTTCCTTTTGCATGTAGCCTTGAGAGGCAAATGCAATATTCCATTGACTTTTGGACTCTGGCAGCACCATATCGCAAGTGTCCTCCACCCTTCTGGCCGGCACAGCCTAATTCAAGGGCATTTCTCACAGCGGTGAGAGTCTCTTTTTATTAAAAGCACTCCTGGCCTATTTCTTGGCACACTTCTATTATAGTCTATTCCCTACAGAACTTCTGACTGCAGTAAAATGTCCTCAGATTGAAGGCTTCGTAATAGCCTTTTGCTATTATGGCTCTTCTCGTACCAGTGACTAAGACTACTGTTGTATGGCAGGCAGCAACTGGAGGAAATTCGCCTGAAAAAAGAAAAGTTGGAAGCCATTACCAGGAAGAAGAAAACAGAGAGGAAAGAAGACCTGCATGGAGAGTCAGCTGGGGACAAATCCCAGATCTGTAATAAAACCACAGCTCCTATGACCCGCCTCACATATAGAAGCACCAGGATGTGGGATAGAAAGGTACCTTGTTTTGTCAGTGGCTGTTCACAGGGCTCTCAAAGGCAATAACATAGCTCTGGGAACAGTGCTGGGCCGTGGGTGTCTCCCAAGGAACAGGACTACGAGGTTGGACTCCCCTTCATGAAGTCCAGAGAGTTGGCAGCTTGTGCTGGGAGGTACTTGCAAGCACCGCTGTTGTCGCCTCCCTGCTGTGGCTCCCACCAGGATCTTCATCCCACTCCACCTCGAAGTCTGTAATTCTCCTTAGGGCTCGGAGCAGTCTGTGGCTTTGTCTCCCTTGCACATTACTACAGCTTCAACTTTGCTGTAACTCAGGTGTTTCCTTCCTAAGCTACGGCGCATGCAGTACGACTCTATGCAACCCCAGGATATTGTGGAAGATGAGGAGAAGAAACGAGTAAATGCTCTTCTGCAACGTGAGAACCTTATCCGAGGCCTGGGCATCATAGATCAGCTCTCCCAGCTGCTCCCCGCAACTGACAGACCAGCTGACACCCAGAAATCCTGCACTGTTATCCCCAAACACCAGGTAACTGAAGATTGCCCAGATCCATCCTGCAAGGCCAACACAGGAGAAAGTCATTCGCGGGAGGATCCTGAGGAATGAGCCATGGGCATTGAGCATCTCCGGTGTGGCTCAGTTAAATGAGATCCAATGTAGCATCTGGGTCTGTGGGTTTTCATACAGTTACTGACTTTTTCCCTTTCGAGTGGGTGCACTGGGGCTGTGCCAGTCAGCTGTGTAGAGCCCCTGAGCACCCTTCCCCAGAAGACCCCTCTCCCCAGTATTCCAAAGAACAGACCACAGCGATACTGCGTTTTGGACACTGCTGTCCCCAGCACACAGCTTAGTGTGAGCTACTGCTTCAGGGCAGTAGTGCGATTCTAGCTGAATAAAATGAATTCCTGCGTAGGCTAGGAGCATGGTAAAGGAGTGCACGCAGCAAAGAGGGCCTGAAGGGAAGCATGGGGATGTCTTAAAAAAAAAAAAAAAAAAAAAAATCACTAAGTGAATTCTGCACTGCAAACAATGCCTCTCCCTAAACATCTTGCCTTCTACATTACACCATTCCCCACATGGGGAAGGTGACCAGTTAGTGCATGTGCCTAAAACCCCAGAGGGCTCAGCCCTCAGTCTGGGGCTCCCCCTTCAGAGTCATCCTTGCTCTGCCAGAGCACACTACAGTGTAAACCCTCAGCACTGCTGCTGCTGCATCCCAGACAGTCTCAAGGCACACAGCTGAGGAAAGCTGGGCTTCACAGAGAATTACACCAGGGGAACCAGGGTTGGGACCTAGAGATCTGCATGGTTGTCTCAAACTGAGTCTTGGCTGCCACGCCAATTCCCAAACCGGGCTACTGGTCTAAAACCAGACGAGGAAGCCCACAGTCTGTTACCTGTGGGCTCCATTGGGTGACAAGGGCTGTTCTGGAGCACTGAGGGTGGCTGTCGCCTGCTGTGTCGGGGATGGGCTACTTCTGGACCTGCGATTCATTAAAAACTGTGCAAGGTCCATTGCCTCTTCCAGTGGCACCCCATCTGTTTCCAGAAAGGGGGCCTGCTCCTGGCTGGAAGGGTGACGTACCTCAGGGGGATGCAGACAAAGTCAAGGCACCAGAGCTGTAGGAATTATTCAGGACCTAGGAGTCTTCTAGTACCTTAGGAGAAATTGGAAATAGTCCATTTAATTTAACAAACTAAGTCTAAGATGGGATTTGATCTGTAAGAACTAATGGCAGCTGCCTTTTCCTCTACCAAAGCAGAACGGAACATGAAACCCAAACTCTGCCTAAAATCTCGCTAATTTTTTCAACAGTGAAGGATTATTTGGGAGTGGGTCAGATCCTTTATCGCTGAGTCTTCCCAGCCTGCTCTGGCATGTCTTTACACAAACCCTGCTCCAGCTCAGCCCACTGTTATGGGCAGAGGATGAGTGTCTCAGCACTGCTGCAGGCAGATCAGGCAGGCAGCTGCTGTGACCCCTTAGATGATGTTAATCTGGGACAGTGACTGTGCCATGCCTGGGAAGAAAGTGCAGGGTGACGCTTTACTGAGCGACCATAGATAACTAGAGAAGACTTTTCCTTCCTGTCTCTTGCCAAGGCCTCCAGAGCTAAGCCGCAGCTGCTTTCTTTCCTTCCAGCCACAGTTTCTCTGGGAGGCGCCTGGGGGCCAGGAGACCCACTGCTTAACAACGCACAACTCCCTCTCACTCCTGGGAGGTCCAGTCCGATCTTCGGGACGGCAGTTCATACACAATGCCAGAGCCAACACCGAGCTGCCAGCCATCCCAGGCTCGGATCCTGCTGCCGCAGGCACCCTCTCCATTCGAGGCCAGAGCATCCCTTGCCACAAGCGGGGCCTCTGGGCACAGGACACAGGCTGGCTGCGGGGCCAGACAGCACGGATGGCAGCAGTTACCCAGCCCTGCACCAAACCCAAGAGGCTGCAGGCAGGAGGCCAGTGGCTCCCTGGCACTGGAAACAAGGCTGAAGGCTGTGAGTATGCATTACCTTCCTTTGGCTCTAAGTGGCTGCCTCGTGGAGGCTCAAGTCAGTGAGCCGGAGCCATGGGCAGACACTTGGGAGCTGTGGATGTTCCTGGCCTTGCTGGGGTGGGAGGAACGGGTGGGATGGATAGAACTCAGAGTCCCTGGGGTGCTCAGGCCCTGTGGAGGTGACACCGCACTCTTCTCTGGGAACTGGTGACCGCTGGAAGTCTCTGCCCGAGGCCGGTAGCGTCCCATTTGCTGGGGCAAGGAAGAAAGTGGGTGGTTTCCCAGGACCAAGGGTTGATATGCTGGGATGGGGAACGCGAGAAGCCCGAAGTACTTCAGAGTCGGGTCAGAAGCGCAGCAGACAGGACAGCCAAAGGGGCACGTTAGCTGTGGGATATACGGAGGAGACACGTGGTGATGCAGCACGGCCCCCAGCCTCTCCCCAGGCCTCCCTCCCTCCCTCCCTGCTGCTCCCTGCTGCCCACGTCCCCTCCAGAACTACACCCACGCTCCCACCACCCACACCTTCACCCAGCTCTGCCCACCTCCCCCCCTGCTCCCCCACCATTGGCTTAGGCTGTTGGCAGCCTTAAGAGCAGGGAGGAGCAGGGGCAGGGCCCAGCACCATCACAGAAGGTGGCAGCAGGCTGCTGACACACAGAGCTGCCGGTGTCTGCCTGCCCCCCATATCTGCCTGTGCTCTTCCAGGTGAAGGTGGCAGGCTGTCCTTCCACACAGGCAGCTGTCACCCGGGGTCCCCAGCCAGCACGGGGAATGCCACCGCCAACGGCACCTTCACCCGGGGTCCCCAACCAGCACGGGGAATGCCACATCCGATGGCACCTTCAGCTGTGCTGCAGTCCAGGAGTAAACCATCTCCTCTGCCACCCACGTGCAGAACACGTGTGCCTCGCACCGTGCTGGTGCGTCGCACGCTTGCAGCGTGAAAAGCACAGGTAATGTGGCAGAGGGGACGCCCACGCTCGGCCTTCCTCCCTGCGGGTGCTCGCCGAAGAACCACGGCTGCTGGACGGGGAGGGTTGTCCCAGCCAGGGGCCGGTTGTCTGCACCCCCTGACTGGACTCTGGGCCCCAGCCGGGCTCCCACTGCTGCGCACCCCCGGGCAGCACAGCAGCTTTACCGCTGCCAAGCCGTGGGCTGGCACCCCCCTCGGCAGCAGCCGAGCCCCCCGGGAGGCTGCCCCGCTGCCTGCCCGTCGTGGGCCCCTCGTCCCCCCG